CTCTCAATGAACTCTCATGGGCATAGACATTGGATTACAAGGCATCTTTTGTGGCCCATGTTCTTGAGCATCCAAATGCCATGGGCAGATGTCACCTACTCCTGCCTAGTGAGCAACACTGGGTGCCAGCAAGTAAATAAGGAGCGTCAATCCCAGTGTCTGAGACCCTGGCCCCAATACTGACTTGTTCAGTATGTGAAAAAGTCATTTTCTTCCACTTGCTGCTCAATACACATTGGGAAGAGTAATATCAGTAGTGCTGTTATTGGTAATACTGGGATAGGTGGGAAAGTTCAGAGAAAGTTAGTTTCTGTCCTTGGGACCTTCCAAGATAAACAATTATACCCTGCAACTGAAAGGACAGAAAAGAAAAATGTAAACGTCATCTTAAGCCAGCTCAGACCCAGGTGTGGTGGGAAAGAAGCTAGGCTACCCGGAGAGTGCTTTCTCTCCAGGATTCTTTTCAACCCTTCACCTTCCCAACCCCAGACCTGGCACTCCGTGGGGGTGATACAGAGATGAGTAAGACTGCTCTGAAAGGACTTCCTGTCTAAGCCAGAGAGCAAACATGTAAACAAACACACGTGATTCATTTGTCATGAATCACAAAAAAGGGAAGAACCTCGGCAGGGATCTAAAAAAAGACCAGAAAGGAACAGGTTTTCTGTTTGTTTGAACACACAAGAATCTACGTGTACAAGAGCACGTTTTTCGTTAAAAACATTCACCTTGGGAAGCAATCCTTTTTTCAATACTGCTGCCCCTTCCTAACTCCTCTTTTGGAATGACACCGAATAAAGACCCATACAAGAAAATGCTGCACTACTTTATACAACAGATAAATATGGTACCAACCTGTCCACCCTTTCACCAAATCTGGTGATAAACAACTTGTCTGCTTTCAGGGAAAAAAAAAAAAGAAAAATCAAATTTCTCTTTTAAATAATAACGCCCTGCCACCTTTGAGGATATTGAAAAAAATATGTAAGCCTCTGAGGGCATTTAAAATCTAACAGCTGTGTCCACACTGTTCGAATGTAAGGGCTTCCCGGCTGACTATTTGGAGCAGGCAATTCTTACTGAAGTGTTGTACAAGTTCTACTGGTTATGGGGGGGGTGAGGGGTATCTGTCTAATTGTTTCATTCTGTAGATACAGCTTTGAAGCTTATAACTCTATTTCAGGTGTGCCTTCATCTTCCTAACTAGCAATCCAAGCCCTTGAGGTCAGGCTGTCTTCCAGTTCTAGATGTGGTGGATGCCTTAAAAAAGGGAGGCTCGTGGGCGTGGGAGGGAGTTTGGGGTGCTCTATTTCGGGGTCCCTGGCGAAGTCTTTAATGAGAGGCCCATTATACTTCCCTCGCTGCCTTACTGTTCCAGTTCTTTTAATCTGTCTTTAATAATGCAGCTTCTCTCCCTCTGTGCCTAAGGCCTCGGGACACTGGCTGTGCTCTGGCTTCAGTGTCCAGGCCACTCCCCCTCTTCCCGGCACTCTCTGTTCCACAGCCAGACTTGGGAGCTGCTCCAAGGTAAGCTTCCTGGGCACAGACTTTGTTTGTCTAACCAAATAGGGTGCCATTAACACCTGTAGCCCTACCTGCTTACCTCCGATTAACCTTCTCGAGGTAGAGGTCTTAGGTATGACTACCACCCAAGCAACCCCTGTAGGCTTTGGGGTCAAACATCCACCATGGAATTGGGAACACAGAGGTTGGTGGGCAGGGTCAGAGGAAGGTTGCTGACCCCTTCAGAGGTTCTGCTGGTTTACGGTGTCACTGGAGACTTTCAAGACTCTACGGGCTCAAATATTCATGAACAACACTCCCTTCGGCAAATTTCTCTTTTGTTCTCCACACACCTAATTCAGATCAGTGGCTCAGCCAGTTGGGGTGGGGAATGACCAGGGAAAGGAAACTGGAGTCAGAGGAATGGAGATGGCTCAAACCAACTACCGCTCGTTTTCTTCCAGGGACAAACACTGCAGGGTCATTCCCAGCAAGAGTGACTATGGACACTGACTGCAACAGCATCCAGATGGACCCTCTCCAGACCCTCAAATAAAGACTGATGCCAAACCCAACCTCAAGAGAAGTTTACCTGGATAGAAGCATCGCTTTTTGCCAGATCCCAGAGGTCTGAAATGGTGAGAGAAGTCGAGTTCTCCTAATTCCTGAGTACGCAGACCAATCACTGGGAGCTAGACAGAAACGCAGACTCTCAGGCCCTACTCCCGGAACCTACAGAATCAGAATCTGCACCTAAGTGAGGTCCCAAGGTAATCCATATGCACACTGAAAACTGAGCAACAGTACTCTAGACTGGAGCAGAAGGGTGCTGGGAATGACCTTTCTCATGAGGTCAAGCATCTCTGTCCTGGCAAAGGGGCAGGTAAATGGCTTTGGAGGAAAATCTCATGCCTTGGCTGAAGCAAGCCACGTTTGCTAACTGAGGCAGAGGCAAGTCAGGGTTATGGACTGTGAGCTGTGCCTGCCCTGGACACCCAGAAAAGAAAGAGCTGGCTTTAGGCTCTTGGCACTGCTCTTTCTTCCCGTTGGCCTCAGACCCCAGGCTTTGCTTCCAATCTGATCCATCCCCGTCTAGCAACAAAGGGTGGGAAAAACGGCTAAGTGAGCATTCAGGCCTGCCTCAGTGCCCACTCTGCACGGATCAAGCAGATTCACGCTCCCACCTGGAGGAACCCCAAAATGGCCAGGAAAGGTCCTGGAAGACACAGAATGACACAGAGAAAGCAGAACAGCATGGACCACAAAAGGCCCAGCAGGGAAAGAGAATTTGAGTCAAGAGCGGCAAGAAGAGCTGCTGGGAACTCTTCCTTGGATCATTTTTAACAGCAGAGAGAGCATTTCTCCCCTCAATGGTTGGCTATTTCTTGTTCAATCTGGGAAACCAGTGTAACATTTGACAACGGACACGCGTTTCCAAGCTCTGGGGCCTCCATGCTGTGTTCTGGAGAATAAGGCAGCACAGCCTCATTTGAGGAAAGCATCGAATTTCTTGGAAAACAAAGATTTTTGAGAGGTGCACTAACATTCTGGCTCTAGACTGCCTCCAATCCTTTAAAGCTACAGATCTCAGACTCGAGCTGCGACACCCAGCTGGATCTCCAGCCTCCAGCAGCCCTGCTCTCTTCAGACTGGCCAGCCCCTACCTTCCAAATTGACACGAGCCAATTTCTTAATCTAGCCTGTTGCTACTGTTTCTCCTACTAACAGAGATTTTGTTCAATCCAGGGGAGAGTCTGTCAGCAACCAAGGTCCTCAGTGCAGTTCTGAACAGGTTTTTCCTCCAGTTACAACCCAAAGTTTTACATAATATCTTCCTGTCCCTTTATCATTTACTTGTGGCTCTAAAACATGTAAATGTGTACAGACAGAATTTTACCACCCCTAGATTTTCTAATTGTTATATTCTATGTCTAATATATCTTTACATTTCAAAATTCTCGTCAGGGGCCGGCCTGGTGCTGCAGCGATTTAAGTTCCCACGTTCTGCTTCGGTGGTCCGGATCCCGGGTGAGGACATGGCACCACTTGGCAAGCCATGCTGTGGTAGGCGTCCCATATATAAAGTAGAGGAAGATGGGCACAGATGTTAGCTCTGGGCCAGTCTTCCTCAGCAAAAAGAGGAGGATTGGCAGCAGACGTTAGCTCAGGGCTAATCTTCCTCAAAAAACAAACAAAAAAAACCAAAAAAAAATGTCTGGCCATAAGATCAGCATACACTTAAGCTATTTAATGGTGAAATTTAATAAAGTACAATAAAACGTGAAAAACTGCACTCTCCCTGCCCCCCCCCCCCCCCGCCCCCCAAAAAGGCAGCATGGTTGGACAAGAACATCTAAGATCCCTAACAGTTCTAACATTCTATGCTTTGGATCAAATAGCCCAAGATCTCGCATCTGGCCGTGCTCGCTGGTGGTGGGACAGCTGCCTGAGAAAATAAGCGTGTGGCCTCCGACGCTGGCAGCAGGAGAGGCTGCGCCCAGACCTCGTCCGCCCGCACCCCTGCGTCTCAGCCGAGCGCCAGGATCCGCGGCGTTTTTCGGGCAGTAGCCTGGGCAAGAGGAGTGGAGGAGGATGGACGGGAGGAGAAAAGGACAAAAGGGGGTGAGGGCAGCGCTAGGATAGGAGGAAGTGGCGAGCTACGAGGGTTTCATCATGCAAACAGGCGGGCAGGTTTCATCAGCGCCTGGGCGCCTGGGCTGGGAGGGAATGCCTGGCTCCCGAGGACAGCCCAAGGCTGGCCCCTACTACGAGTGCCAGCTCAGCTTCCTCCTCCTCGTCCCGTCTAAGGGAGGTCACACGGTCCCCCTCCCCCTGGAGAGAAGAACGTGTTTTCCTGCACAGCGCTGCCTGCGGCCCCACGTCCCTCTGTGGAGATCCCATACGCGTAATGGGCAAGCTGCCATAGGAGCCAGTGGGGCGCTGCTGGTGCCAGCGAGCGCGCTCAGCCCCAAACCTGTCGGAGGGTGCGTGCCCAACGCAACACTGGGGGTCGGGAAGGAAAAAGGACTCTGCAAGAGTCATTTATCCCAAGAAAGAATGCCCATCCCATTCCCTAAAAATCCTAGGCCCGGCCACTCTGATCTGTGGGCCACTCTGACCCCACCCTATTTCCCCTCAGAACTGTCCCCAACACCCACAAGGGGCAGCACACCTCGGCATGTGGCAGTCCCGGTATCTGTTAGGGTGGAGGGCACCCAGCTGTCTCTCCCAGAAGGAGGAAACGAATGGGGCAGTTTGCAGCCCGGGCTCCGGAGGACGCACTCGGGGTGGGCAACGGGAGGCGGGTCCCCGCTCGCTCCCTGTGGGCACCTCCGTGAGCCTCAGTACTTCCTTGACGCCCCTTCCCAGACACCGCACGCCCAGAGCCTGGTCGCCCCGTCCAATTAGCGATTCCTGATCCCTCCCGCTCTGCCCAGTCGGTCCTCCCCACAGCCCGCAGCCAGAGCCCGCACGCGGCGCCCGGAGCCCGCGCCTACCTCCCGGGGTGGTGCTGAAGAGCGTGCCGCCGGGGGTGGTGCTGTAGTCCCCAGGCGGCAGCTGCACGCCGTCGCCGAGGACCACCCGGCGAGTGGCGGGGATGGCCCGGCTTGGGGTCTGGCTGCAACTGCTGCCCCGTGACATGATCTCCCGCGCGCCGCAACTGCAGCCGGAGCGTGGCCCAGCCGCCGCTCCCGCCCCGCTCCGCCTCGCCCCGGCCCGCCCCTTCCGCCTCTTGGGCTCGATGCCCCCTGGGATTTGTAGTTCCCGCCGTGCCGCCGCCCCACCCACATCCACGCAGCCCTGGGTCGGAGGCCCCCTGCTGAGGGTCTCCTGCGCGCGAGTGCCAGCGCCGCCGCCGCATTGCTTGTCCCTTTCGCTCTGGGGTCCCTCCCGGCCACGGTCTTGGGCCCCAGCAGGGACGGGGCGGGGTGGGGGGTCGTCAGGCTTGCCTGGCTCGCTTGGCTGGGGCGCGTGTCAGGGCTGTGCGGTGATCTTGGCCGACCCGGCCCACTCTGGGAAGACCTAGTTTCTACTTTAGGAGATCAGGCTGGATGGTCCCCTCAACCCTCCCTGTTCCTTTCCTCCCTGTTCATTCCTAGGTGAGAAAGCGGGGATTGGTTGGTCTTTCACCCCTCATCAGTTTATTGAGCACTCACGATGTGGCAGGCGTCGAAGAAGGCATGTTCCAAGCCTCGGAGAGGGTAGGGGAGAAAGACACGTCAACAAGCCACTCAGCTGAGTGATAAGGGCTAAACCTAGAGCCGATATGGGGGTGGGGATCTGGGGAGGGGTAAGATTAGTCAAAGAAGGTTCCTTGCAGCCCTTTGAGTTGGGTCCAACGCCCCCTATGCTGCCTGACATTTAGTACGCACTCGTTGAATGAAGGAACGACCAAGTGAATGAATGAATCTTCAAGGAGATACCTAAGTGGAGAGAGAAAAAAATGCACGGAGAATGGAAAAGCCTCCATGAGAGAACGTTGTGGCCACATCTTGGAAGGGGGAGGAGAGAGAACAATTTAAAAGGGAAATGGGGGCCTGATTGTGAAGGGTATTTTAAATCATGTCAGGGTGTTCAGAATTTGTCCTACGAGGGTAGGAGATATCAGAGAGCTTTTAAGCTGGGGAGTGACCGATTAGGGTTGTTTTTTAGAAAGACGACTCGTGGCTGTGGAGTTTGAGAATGGACCACAGCAGGGTGAGGCCCGAGGTTGGAAGACTGGTTGGGTTCGGTCACTCCTGACTAAACTGCAGGCGTGCACTGTCTAGTACAGTAGCCACTGGCCACATATGCTTGTTGAGCACTTGGAATGTGGCTAGTCCACATTTACAAGTGTAAAATACACACTAGATTTCAAAGACTTAGTATGAAAAAAATAATGTAAAATATCTCAATAATTTGTTTTATATTGATTACATGTTGAAATAATACTTTGAATATATTGGGTTAAGTAAAATCTATTATTAAAATTAATTTCACCTATTTCTTTTTACTTTTGTTGGTAGGACTATAAGAAATTTATATATATATATATTATATATATATATATGGCTTGTAATATATTTCTATTGGATAGCGTTGCTCTAGAATAAGGTGTTATGAAAGCAATTCTCAAGTTCTTCCCAGAACTTTCCTTTGGAAACTAAGGACTCATCAAATGTTAGCTCTGCCCAGGTATATTATAGGTCATCCAGGGCAATATTCACCTTCATCTTATTTTAAAAAAACCAAAAACTAAAACAGAGGCTCAGAAAGGAGTAGGGGTTTGCCCAAGGTTACACAGCTGCGAAACGCCTGAGGCGGGATAGAACCCAGTCTTGCCTCCCTTCCAGGCCAGCCCTTTTCTCACCACACTAGAAAATAAAGTGGCTCATCCTCATCCCTTGGGAGGAACTGTTTTGAAAGGGGGAAGGAGCCTGCTTAGAAAGCTCAACAGGGGCCGGCCCTGTGGCTGAGCGGTTAGTTCACATGCTCTGCACGGATGGCCCAGGCGTGTCGGCGTTCAGATCCTGAGCTCGACCTAGCTCCGCTCATCAGGCCATGCTGCGGCGGGGGCCCACATAGCCCAACCAGAAAGACCCACAACTGGGATACACAACTATGTACTGGGGGGTTTTGGGGAGAAGAAGAAAAAAAAAGATCGGCAACAGATGTTAGCTCAGGCCCAATCTTTTTTTAAAAAAAAAAGCCGAATACTTGGCATGACTTCTGAATGGAGGGCTGATGAGATTTAAGGGCTGCAGAGGCTGGGGGCTGTCTAGACCTGGGGCCCTTCGTGGACATAGGAGGGACGCTAGAAATAGCTGTTCAGTCTTGGACAAGTCCCATTCCCTTTCTGGATCTCAGTTTCAGCATCTGTCCGATGAAGGGGGTGGATTTGAAGATCTCTGAGGACCCTCACCATTGACATTTTATGTCTTTGACCAACTCAGTGCTGAAGTGTTTCCTACCCAGCCATTCCACCTGTATGGTGATTTCCACCTCTTTATAGAGCAGAGACTCCTTCATATCAAGTCTTGTCACCGAGTATCAGCTCCTAGAGGGCAGGGACCATGGGTTCACTCATTCTGATTCTTGACAGCACCTCCCCAGAGAGGCCATTGATGATAGTTTTAGATGCTGCTGCTGCAAAAGCCACACTTGCTTATTTCTATCTTCCTTTCAGGCTCCTTTGAATCTGTTAGCACATGATGTTCCAGCATTCCAGCTGAAGGTCAAAAGAAAAAGCAGAAGGAGCCAAGGAATGTTTTCTAGAAGAAAGATAAGGAGGGGGCTGCAGGGTGGGGAACAGTTTCCATCCCATCTCGCTCTACTTGACCTGTAGGCAGGGAGGGGCAGGGACCGATTTTATCATTTTAAGTAAGTGGAATTTCTCTAGGTAGCCACCCGGCGCACAGGCCCAGTCCTTCCGGTGTGAAATACTTTCTGAGCAAATAATACTAATGGAAATTAAGAACAGCTCTGAGCAGGCACGGGCCCTCCCGGTGTTTGTCTCAACACAGCTCTTCTGACCTGGACCCGTGTGGGGAAGGAGAGCCAAGAGACGGTCCCCGGGTGCGGCCGCCTGGGGAGGTAGCAGAAGCCAAGAGGGAGGAATGCTTCCAGATTCACTGAGTCACCGTGTGGAGAGGCTGACTTCTGAAGCCCCTCAGGCTAGCGAGGGGCTCAGGGAGGCTGGGGAGACAGTTGTGTTTGTTCCGTGTTTGTTCTGGACGTGTGTGTGTGTGTGTGTGTGTGTGTGTGTGTGTGTGTTTTTTAATCCATTCCTAATGTTATTTGATGCTGAAAATGTTCCCCCTTCACCATCGTGAGGGCTTCACATCAGCCAGCACATCCTACTGCCATGGCCTTTGCAGGCTCCTGTGGTTTCTTGTATAGTAAGAGATTCTGGCTCCTCTGCTATACTTCCCTCCCCAGATGGAGACCCGGCCTTTCTTCAGGGCCTCTGATTGCCATCCCAGACAGCTTCGCAGCCTCACTGCACGCAGTTGTGTTGTCCCTCGCTGACTGGCACACAGGCCTGGTCCTTCTGGTGGGCAGTGCTCTGTGAGGTTAATCAGTAATATCAGTGGGAATGAGGACTAGCCTTGAGTAGGCCTGGAGGGGCCTGGTGGGCTTGGTGAGTGGCCCCGTGCGTGGCCTTTGTCTGTCCTGATCCTGGTTACTGCGCCTGTCTCCTTGTATTCTCTCTCCCCTATTCTGTCTTCTTGGATAGCCCTGCTTGCAAACCCAAGCGTTAGCTGAGGGATACCTCCAGGCCATGTCTTCAGGCTTCCCGTCCTTCAGCTCCTTCGAGCTTATCAGCCGAGCTCATCAGCCGTGACACCATGACTCTGTGGGGACCTGGAATTGGCCACCCCAAGATATGTCTCTTTGGCATGAGGATTATTTGAGGCTGGTTTCTTTGCAGACAGGAAAGCAACTGAAAAGTAGAACTTGCTTACCCTTTTGTTAAGAGACATTTACATTGTAAAGGAAATCTCCATCTGTAAAGATATCTCCCTCTGTACCAGGAAGAAGGGGAGATGACCTTGTCTCTAGAAACTCTTAATCAATGGGGAAGGCAAGGACTTAAATCTGCATTTGTTCTTAAATCTGCATTTGTTTATTGTGCTTGTCTGGTAACCTCCTGTAACTGACTTCTCTCCCCCTCCCAACGTTGGCATTTCTTTAAGGATTAAGCATCTTTCCTTAGGCTAGGAACTGATTGCTGCACTCACCTGTGACCACCCAGCTCAAGACAATAGACTTGCCTCCTGCTGAGCCCTCCAAGAAGTGCTGTGCGACAGGGCAATCTTGTGACTATTGTGGGAGGGACATTTCAATCATATGTGAAACATCCTGTTTGGGGGTATATAACCACTCTGTGTACCCCACTTCTTCGGTGCCCTTTTCTTCCTGGGAAGAAAGGTCCCGGGACCATGGTCCTCATAAAGCTTTGTTTAATTTTCTCTTGCTATTCTGTCTCATGTGAATTTAATTCGTTCTCCAGCCAGACGAACCCACATTAGGTAGAGGAAAAGTCTTCCTCCCCTACAGCTCTCAGCTTTGTCTCCACTAAACTCAACAGCAAGGCGATTTCTCCCAGTAAGAGCTGTTTCTTCTCAACGATTCTGTTATCCTCTAGTCAGTGGAGAATCTGCCTATTTTCTTTAACATGTTTTCTTTTTCTTTGTGTCTTTTGACCCCTTTCACCCATTTCAGCCTGCCCCCCTGCCCCCACTTGCCCTGCCTGGCAACCACTGGTTCTCTGTGTCTATGAGCTTGGTCTTTGGGGTTTTTTTTAAAGATTTTTTATTTTTTCCTTTTTCTCCCCAAAGCCCCCGGTACATAGTTGTATATTCTTTGCTGTGGGTCCTTCTAGTTGTGGTATGTGGGACGCTGCCTCAGCGTGGTTTGATGAGCAGTGCCATGTCCGCGCCCAGGATTCGAACCAACGAAACACTGGGCTGCCTGCAGCGGAGCGCACGAACTTAACCACTTGGCCACGGGGCCAGCCCCCCGTTTTTTTTTTTTCCAACATACCTTTTTTTAAATGGTTGACTCTCCATCTGAGCCAAGAAGTCTAGGAAGCTCTTATCGTACTAGACCACAGGAGCCTCTAAAGAACACACGGGCTAGGCCGACAGGACGCTTGAGCTGATGCAGAGGACTTCCAATGGTGGGTTTACTGTTTCAGTATGCTTCCTGGGCTCA